CATTTCCTTTTCTCTAGCTGACTTTACTGTAAGAATACCGTACATCATACGTATAACACGCAAAATATATGTTCATCGGCTGTGTTATCCTAAGACTTCTGGTCAACGGTAGACTATTAGTAGTTAAGTTTTGCAGGAGTTATATGTGAATTTTTGACTGTGCGTGGGGGGGGGGCTGGCACCTATAACCCCCAAATTATTGAACGGCCAACTGTAATGGCATGTACAAGGTGAATGCCCTCAATGTCTTCATCTCTATTTTTTTAAATTTTTTTTAATGTTTATTTTTGAGACAGAGAGAGCCAGAGCATGAACGGGGGAGGGTCAGAGAGAGGGTGGGACACAGAATCCAAAGCAGGCTCCAGGCTCTGAGCGGTCAGCACAGAGCCCGATGCGGGGCTCGAACTCACGGACCGTGAGATCATGACCTGAGCCGAAGTCAGACACTCAACCGACTGAGCCACCCAGGCGCCCCAACCCTCATCTCTAAAATAGGGCCAGTAATGTGATGTACCACACAGTGCTGTGGTGAAGATTAACTAAGAAAACATGCAGGTCAACAGATTGCATTACAGAGACAGGCACGAGGGAAGTGCTTTGGTTATTTCATAGGAGCATGTGGGAGGGTACACGAAGTGTGCCTGAAACAGGTGGACCAGGTCTGAGATGAGCAATGCAATTTTTAAAAGAGGAGTAGGTGTTCATTAAGTAGAAACATCAGGGGATGAATATTCCAGGCAAAGGGAGCTGCGTGCAAAGGCACAGAAGTACTAAGGACATGATAAGTTCCAGAATATCAGAGTTGGCCCGGTAGAAGGATACAGTACATAGGGGAGAAAGTATATATGGTGGCAAACCAGAAGGGGAGCAGGCCAGGCTCCACAGAGGAGGTAACATTTCGACTGGGTTCTTGAAGGATGAGTAGGAGTTTGCCATCCAAAGGCAAGGGAAGAACAGTCTGGTGGTGGGAAGAGCATATACAAAGGCCTGAAGTTGTAAATGTGTATGAAATATTTGGGAGACAGTGTTCTGGAACTGGAGCTCTGCATTTAGGGAGTCCTGTCTCCCATGGAGAGGTTTTGGGGGTATCTGAGCTTGTTTGGCTGACTGGTGGGGTGGGGCCCTGCATTCAATCCGCAGGAGGGATTCAGTGGGGAACGTAAGCAGTACATGTGAACCATAAGGAAGAAGGATTAGGAGGATGGTCTCATGTCTGTCTCAGAGGCTTATACTCAGCACAGGCTCTGCCTACAGGCAGCTGAACCCTGACAAAATGGCTGCAACTGGAAATTGAAGGACTCGTTTGCACGCAAACTCCAGGAGACTCTGAGGCACGAGAAGACCCTGACTTGGTCTACGTAACACAAACTCAAGGACTACGTGTTAAAGTGGTTCAGTGTAAGGTGGCAAAGTGTAACATCACAGGTGGGGAAGGAGGAGGACACTCTCCGCTTGTGCACAGGATACAGTGCCACTGGGGAAGACTGAGGATTCTGGGGCACCGCCACCATTGCTGGCACCTCTAGGCCTGCAGAAGGAGCACCCACCAGTCATATCATGGTGGGCAGTGGTAGAAGCAGTGGGCAGCCATGTTCTCCAGCAGGTGCCCATCACAGAGTGGGGGTCCAAAGCAAGAAAGGAATGAAAGCATGGGTAACATGTGGTAGCAGGACGTATCCTTGAGGCCAGAGGAGATAATCTTTGGGACTTCCTGGGAATCACCGGGAGGTGGAGACTACAGAGAAGAAAAGATCCTGCAAGAGGAGAGATATGCAAAAACCAGTAAAGATGGGCCACATCTAGGAGACCAAATGGCTAGGACTCAGTGAAATTTGAACGTGGGTGAGGGAAAGGGAAGAGTGCCAGAGGGACCCAGCTATCGGGTTTGAATTCTATGTGGTTCTCCCACTGGAGGTGGAGTAATGTTGGGATTTTGAACCCACCATTCCGGAAGATGCTGGGTGTAAGGGTAGGGGGCAAGCTAACAGAGATGAGGGGAACTAGGTAGAGCTAATGCACAGTAAGGGGTTGGCACCCAGAAGCCAAAATTCAGTCCAGGTCGTAGGTCAAGAATTGTGGGTTTCGAGGGCTCAGCATGCGAAAATGGCTTCCCACACACCTCACACACCAGGATAACATTCTTTCCCCCATACCCTTCAATCTTTTCCTTTCTATAGGATCCCTTCCTTTAGTATTCAGACATGGTCAAGTATCTCCCATATTTAAAACAAAACCTTTCCTTTGACCCCGTATCCTTCTCCAGCTACTTCCTTCACCTTAGCTCTCCACTCTCTGTAATGAAGCTTCTCCAAAGGGTGGTTCCTCCACTCACTGCTGGCCCCTGCTGCCATCCCTCTGCCAACATCTCACCACCAATGACTTCTGTGTTGCTAGCACCAGCGCAGTTTTCTGTCCTTATCTGACATTTCAGCTCTCATGATGTCTGTGATGGCACAAATTTAACCAGTGTTAGGGGTCTGAGGGAACTTAGTTTGGATCAATATATACGATGAAACTCTTACCTTGCTTCCTATAAAAATGTGCCACCGAGCAGCACACCGAAATTGAGGCCTTCCTGAAACCTAAGCCAATGGCCTTCTTTCCCCCAATCTCTTAAATGTCTTGGCCTAAAGTAGAAGCCAGAAATAAATGGCCATTTTCACTGTCGTGCCCTTCTTGAATATCCATGGTCATAAATGAACGTTTGGTAATCACTTGACATGCGCTGGATAATTAAGTCTCACGGCACAACTGCAAGCAAAAGGCAATAGTACCACAATTATCCCCATTTTAATCATATTTTTTAATGTTTCTTTATTTTTCAGAGGGAAAGAATAAGCGTGGGCAGGGGAGGGGCAGAGAGAGAGACGGAGACACAGAATCTAAAGCAGGCTCCAGGCTCCGAGCTGTCAGCACACAGCCCGACGCGGAGCTCGAACTCACGAACCATGAGACCGTGACCTGAGCTGAAGTTGCAGGCTTAACCGACCGAGCCACCCAGGCGCCCCATTATCCCCATTTTATAGATCGGGACACTGACACAGCTGTTAAGCACAGAGCTGGGATCAAAAACACGGATAGGCCAACCGCAAAGTCCCCACTCTTAACGACAATGCCACAGCCTGAGAGGGGTGTCCAGCCAAGTGGGAGACAGCCGGGCCCATCACCTACCACCCAGTCCCAGGTCAGCACCGACCAGAGAGTCAATCACTCACGCAGCATTCCTGCAGATGATGTTTCAAAATTCACCTTTTTATTAATTTAAAAATCCAGAAATACAGCGACTACATAAATAAGTACCCTATTTAGGTACATGTCCCGTGAGAAGAGTAAAGGGCTAATACTGTGACGTTACTCTTACTTGTGTACACGAGTTAACTATGACATGCCTACAACTGCTAAGTGGTGTTTATGGTCTTTGTTGTTCCAAGTGTTTATGATACAAATAAATATACAAGAAGAACCACATCCGTTCCTCTAACTACAGGTGGCTCGGCCTCATCTCCCCACGTCCCACTGCCTATACGACACCGAACGCTGGGTTTCCACGTTGGCCGAGCACAGCTCCCCAGCTCATGCTTCACACGGCACTTTGTAAAGGTGTGTCCCAGCACCCGGGGGCAGAAGTCTATCTAGGGAAGCTCTCTGGGTGTTCCCTTATGGTTGAGCTTTCAGAGAACACCTGGGTGGGAAGGCTTTGGGGTGAGTCACCCAGAAGGGGAAACCACCGCTTGCTTTGGGATTCAGTTACTTGTTTCCACACTATGGAAATACTGCCACCTCTGGGAGGGAGGCAGCAGCTGCTGAACACCGTTGTCCCCCTCCTCCGCAATAATGCTCTGTGGCCTTTCAGCCCCTGGATGTCCTACCACCCTCTCCCGCGGAGAATATGAAGGAAAGGTTGGTAAGAGGCTTATCCCATAAAGGCCTGGCCACGAGGCGCTCCTGTGTCTCCTAATTTAGGAGAACAGCCTCCTTTATGCCAGGTTGCCATAAAGACTGGGCCCGATTGCTGTCAAATGCTGTAAGGAAACCAGTGTTCCTCTCCCCTATGGTCACGGAGTGGGAAATACAGGATTTCTGGGCCCCTAATATTTCTGAGTCTTCATTAGAGTTCATTCATGCCCCTCAGAAGGGATAAATCTAGGAGGCAGGCTTGAGATCCTTGTGGAGAATTCAGAGTTTTGTCACAAAGATGATTTCTAAAGCCAGGCCTCAGAATGGAGAGCTTCTACTTCTGGGATTGAGCTGCAAAGAGGCAGTTTTCAGAGCAGCCTGGATTAGGATTCATGATTCAGATCTGGGCTTGGTGGATGAGAGGAGAGTGGTAGGAAGGTTTAGAACAAAGATCCTTATCAGAATTTCCATTTCCTCAAAGGAGCAGTAATTCTAACCCACAGGTTCAGGGAGAAAAGCGAAGCGGTCTCATCAGGGAAATGTTAATTATCAGAAGATGTCAAAATCAGCTCCTGTAACTGGAGAAATTAATTTCAATTTTTGGGCTACCGAACTAGGGCATCAGGGAAATTAGCTGACCAACCGTTTACTTCAACAATTATTTTGTTTTACGTGGATTCGGTTTCTGAAGATTTTACCCAGTTCTCACTTTTTGACGGGGGCCCCCACAGGTTCAGGGAGAAAAGCGAAGCGGTCTCATCAGGGAAATGTTAATTATCGCTTCCAAGGGAATGCGACCGTGAAATAGTGTTTTTGTTCTTCACCCTTCCATCAGAGTCGGTGACTTTAGCAGCCACACCACTGACCTAAGGGTTGAGCCTTCTGCTCACAATTCCTTCTTTATCTTCCTGAGTACCCACAACTTCAAAGCTACCTGGGAGCCAGGCAAGAGAAAGGAGGGGGGAATCTATGCTGGCTGTGCCTCAGAATGAAGACTGCAGTTTAGTCTGTGTGTGTGTGTGTGTGTGTGTGTGTGTGTGTGTGCGTGCGTGCGTGTGTGTGAGGATAGGGTGTTAATTTTTTTAAAAAAACACAAGACATTCTAAAACTCAAAGAGTATGATTTCATACAAATATTTTCTCTGTACTACAGAACTCCTACTAAGCATTTCTCTCCTGTTTCTTTCACTGGAATAACTTTCTAGATAGAAACCCTAGGGTTTTGTTTACTCTTTAACCTGTAAAGAAATGTGATTCTCCCAGAAACTTAGAGCAGTGCTGTGGTGTTCTATCCCTCTTCCTCCCACAAATAATTCAAGACTCTCCCAGTCTCTTTGGAGGACATGTTTAAGGACTGACACATAAAAGGAGCAAGTTATGCTGTGCATGGCGTGAATAATAAACTGCATTTGAGTTTGGGGTTTTAGGGCACTGTTGACTTAAGCAAAATAAGCCTGCAGTCCAGCTGCGGCTTGATTTTTCTTGCTCTATCCTATCCAATACCGCCTGTCTCGTCTAACAGTGGCCCTTTTCAGACCTTTCCAGGTACAAAACCTTGACCAAATCTTCAAGCTCAGTTCTGCACACACGACTCGAACACATCTGGCTGATCTGAGCTTCTCCTTCGGTGAAGATCTTCCACTGGCCTAGAAAGCAAACACAAAGCAGCCCAGAGAGGTAAGAGGAGAGCACAGCCAATTAGGAGTGTGACCAACCTAACCCGATCCTTACCCACTCACTTGCCGGGAGGAGCTGGAAGCCAAATGTCAGGGGGTTTCAGCAAAACAGCGCCCAAAACACTTTTCTGGGGACAGATATGGAAAGTGGGCCACAGAATGTTCATTTCAACACACAGTATTTGTAAGAATCCCAAGAATAATAGGTAATTGCCTCCAGAGTCAAACCTAAGTATTATTTTTGGAATTTTTACAGTATATTTAGCATTTGTAAAATGCTCCACTATCGGGCTGTTAGCTCTTTAGGTGATTCCCTTGGGACCAGGTCAAATAAGGCACTTTGGAAAACAGTACCTGTGCGTTCCCGAGGTCCCGCTTACTTTTCAGGGGCAAGATACTGGTGTAGGTGACTCGATTATTTAGTGCTCTTTTTTCTATTCCTGCCCTTTGTTTAAAAAACTGCCCACCTCGGTCTTCTCCTGTGCTCACATGCTGTCTTAACACCCCCCTCTTAGGATCCCTCCCATTCTCTGTTTTCTCCTCTCCCTGTCAGCATGTCCTTACCAGCTCATCTCTTCCCCCATTCCATCATGCCAACTGAACGAACGGTCTTGAGTGCACTCCCCGTGCTGAGCACTGGAAACCATTCTAGATCACCTCTTTTTTCAACCGTCCCTTTTCTGACTGCCCTGGTCCTTGAGTGGCAAGATCTTCCTTCTCCTTAGTGTCATCTTGCCATGGCAAAGAATCTTCATGACAAACCGTCCACCCTGGATACCCACTTTGGGTCTTTTTCTCCCTGCTCTCATGGCATTACAGCCTAGCGAACCCCTAGTCCAAGGTCAGCGAGCTCCTCTCAATCCAGAGCCAATTTTGAACCACTTTTCTTTCCCTAGCCACAGAAGAACATGACCCTCTTCATTAAGGACTCCATTTCCCTGCTCCTTTGTCTCTTGGGTTCTTCACTTTTCTCTGTTCTCTCCAACTCAGCGGGAAAGGAGAGAAGGGTCGGGCAAGGAACCACCTTGTACTGAAGCCCTGCGGTGTGCCAGGATCTGAGAGCCACATGACAGAAAGGGCCAGGCTTGTTGTTCTTTGTCCCCAGGTGACCCCGCAGGATTGTCTCATTACCCACTTCCTTCAGCTGCACACAGTTGGGGGCACACACCATCTACTTCCATTATACACCCTCAATCCCATTATGCCTAGCATAGGGCCTTTCTCACAGTAAAAACAAAAACATGTTCTTTGAAATTCATCGGTAATTTAAAAAAAATCACATCATTCATACCAGACCCTAGACTCTGCCCCCTTCATTTCCAACCCCTCCATATGAATTCTCCTACCGGGCAGTTTATGGTCTATCAGTCTCCTACAGAATACACAAGTAACCTCGTTAACCCTATTTCCAGCTGCCCACCGCAAAACTCTGCTCAGATGGCCTTTATGTATCTGAATGTAAACATGTTTCAAATGAAACACATTTTTTTTTTCTCCCCGGCAGTACCTGCCTGTTCCTCAGAGCCTCCCCTTGGCAAATTATCACTATTCACCCGGTCTGTAAAATTGTTACTCCTGGAGTCATTCCAAACTCATTTCTCTCTTTGTAGCCATCTTGATGATTTAAACTCAGAGGTGTCCCTCACCGTGACCTCTCTTCCCTGGTCCAACCGACTTAATACAGTATTTTAATTCAGACTACCATCAGCTACTTACCGCCGACAGTCCACTTTCCAGTCCACACAGCAGGCACCTCTTTCTAAAAAACATATGTGCACACACCGTGCACTTGCTTAAAGTCCTCCCCTGGGGTTCTCTGGCCTGGCAATCAAGTCTAACTTCTCAGCATGGCATAATGGGCTCTTTGGGATATGATCTCATCAAAGTAGGTACACCATAAATCCATCTGCTAGCCAAGAGACATCTTTGCAGAGCATCATTTTTGTTATCAGTAGGCCATTTGTAAATCTGCAGCAACCACCGACGCAACTGGACTTCCACGTGAACTTCTCACCGGCTTCTTCCAGGGCTGCCCGCCCCCCACATTTCTTGTTTGTTCCTGGCAGAGTCTCCTTTTAGGCAGCACCCTCTCCCTGAATTGATTTCCTGACCTGTTGCACAGACACACCCTTCTCTTTCAAAACACACCTCCTCCCCGAAGCCCACCTGGCTCTTGTCTCCTTGTGCCTTGCAGATTCCCCTGAGTTCTCAGGTAGTTAACTCTTGAGAGCTAGGCTGATTCACGGTGAAGGTATTTTCATGTTCTGTCTGGCCCATTAGAATACCCGGTGGATACAAATTCTGGGCCTTTTATTCCTTCAGAAGTGCTGGCCACCTCCCAGCGCCTAGCAGTATCTAGTCCTTAGGCTCCATCCTGCTTTAGAAAGAGGGAAAGCTGCCGACCTGCTTGAGTCCCTGAGTGCTTTTAAAGAAACATGACCCCCTGGGGGCAGTTTCAAAGAGTCAAACAGACCTTGGTAGGACACAGGAATTGAGACACTTTCCTTTTCCATCTCCCACCCCCACCGCTGGAGGACACATCCTTCCAGAGGTCAAGTCTCCACAAGTGTACCAGCCCTGGACTCCTGTGAGCTTTCTCTGACCTTCTTGACACGCTGGGGTTAGCAGTTTTCTTTAAAGATATCCAGGAAACCTTGACTCGAGGTAGCTGATGCTGAGACTACATCTGGATTTGTATTCATCGGGTCCCAGTTTTTCAGTTCACATTCGGACCCCCCGCTCCCCCACTGCCGAGTCACCCGGAGAAGAGACACAACAGCCTCTAAGGTTGACATTGAGCACTGCTAATGTTCACTAAGAGCACAAGCGGACCTTGTTTGGGGCTATGCTACGTTGAAGACTGGAGGCGTTTTCCAAGGAGGAGCGAAGAAAGACAGGTACCACTTACTCAGCGTTGTCCTGGTCACCAGTTTGAAGTGATGGAGCTCCTCAAACATCCTCTTGGAGATCTTCTCAATATGGAAGTGCTGGAGGATGCCTGGAACCAAGTAAAAAGTGGGGGCAGGTGGTCAGGCCCTCCCTATCTGGAACCACCACCCCCTTTTTCTGCTTGGGCTGGGCATATCATCTCATTACAGGGGCTTAGGAGTATCGAGCTGGGCTGTGTAATGTGCTTAACCAGGAACTTGGATGGCTCAAGGGTTATAATTGACTCCATCTGTTTCTTTGGCTCACTGGCCTCCCCTTGGTTCTCCAGAGGATAGAGATATAGCAGATCGTGTTGCTGACCATGGGACCCCCTCCTAGGGAAAGCCACATGGAATCGGACATGGGTGCTGGTGGGAGTTGTTATAGCCAAAGGCAGTATTAGAAATTCTGCCCTTGCCCCACTGTCCAGGTAGTGAGAGCCAGCAGTGGGATTGAAGACAGGTTGTTTGTGTAAATGGAGAAGCCATCCCTGTTCTTGAACTCACTGAAAAGCATATTTTCCTTTGGGAAATCTTCACAGCTCCTTTGGCTTTCCCTTACAGAAAATGGGGAAAGTTAAAATAAAGGTGGGGGGGGGGGACACAGTCTCAACTTTGCCTGAATAGTTTTTATCAGAATAACACATAAACTGCAAATGGCCTTGCAGTTAAAGAGCAACATGTTACCAGCCTACTTAATCCTCAAGAGGTCTAGAGAAGGCAACGTAATTGAAACCTGGGTTATCCTCTGCTCACCGAGCACAGACCGCGGCTGCCCAGCCCTGAACAAGAAGTCCTTCAGATGCTACCCCAGCAAGCATGGAAAAATATCCATGTGCCTCTAGGGGGTGAGCGATGTGGGGCAACCAAATATTGGGGCCACTGTTAGGGAAGCCAAAAGGACAGGGCTTAGTCCTAGGTGACCAGTTACAGAGGAGCTAGGGAGTTAGAGATGGAACATGGACATTCCTAGGTATAGAGCAAAAACGAACACAGACAAGAAACCTATGTGTGTTCTAGCATATTTTTTTAAGGGGTGGGAAGGAACTCATTCTTTCAGGCAAGAGAAGTTGTGAAAAGGGAGAGGAAGAAGCCCTAGAAATACTCGAGCCATCGTTTCTCAAAGTATGGCCCGAGTGCTGCCTGAATTAGAATCACCTGGCCGTTTGTTACGTGTTGAGGTGCTACCTAAGGTCTACTGAATTCACGTCTCTTGGATGGGGCCAGGGAGCTGTGTTGTAAACCGGCTCCTTTACAGGGTATGTAAAGCTCCTCAGTATGATGCGGAGGCATACTAAACTTGGAGCACTCTCGAGGCTTACTTACGCAGGAGCCAGGAGAAAAAGGATGTGCGCTGTTTCCCAGCTGAAATCTTACCTCTTCACTTGGATTCCTAGAAAACGCGGCCAGCCTAGATCAACACTAGCCTTGTTATCTGTGGGATGGTCTGAAGGGCTGTAGGATCACAATGAACACGATGCGGCTGGCTATGGCAGTCGGGGTGAGTGATCAGAAAAGGAACTGGACGGACAGAATGACAGGGATTGTTCCTCTGGGCGAGACGCTTCTTGAGGGCGGGGATGAGGTTTTCAGTGCGTGTCACCCCAGAGTACATAGCGCGATTTGAGAGACGCAGCTTTGCACTGAATGGATGGATTTTCCTGTTTGTTGAGGTTCAGATGGGAAAAGAATGGGTAGGCTACAGTTTGGTAGGCTGACGTCGTGGCTGTGCATTAGAATCACCTGTGGAGCTTTAAAAACAAACACTTTTGTGGGGCGCCTAGGTGGCTCAGTCGGTTGGGCGGCCGACTTCGGCTCAGGTCATGATCTCGCGGTCCATGAGTTCGAGCCCCGCGTCGGGCTCTGTGCTGACCGCTCAGAGCCTGGAGCCTGTTTCGGATTCTGTGTCTCCCTCTCTCTGCCCCTCCCCTGTTCATGCTCTGTCTCTCCCTGTCTCAAAAATAAATAAAAAAACGTTTAAAACAAACAAACAAACAAACACGTATGCCGAGGCCCCATCCCTGGCCGATCAATCAGCAGCCCTGGAGGGAGGCTCAGGCATTTGGTATTCACAAAAACCTCTCCCACGTGATTCTGATGTGCAGCCAGGGTTGCAAAGCACTCCTCCAGCCTTTGTTGGTACAAGAAAGACAACAAGCCCCAAGGGCCAATGCTGACTTTTTGGACCAGGTCATGGTTAAGGGTCAAAGGTCACAATCACCACCGTGTCAGTCATGTGGTAGTTGCTGAGCGATCAGGAAAACTGACCCAAACGGAGGAGCTGGTTGAAGCAAAATTAAGGCGAGTCTTCCCCTCCTTCCCTGGTCCCCCGCCCCTTACAAAAAAAAATAACAAGGAATTAATATTGTCTTGCTCACCCTTTCGGATGGTCCAAACGTGCACCTCCACCTGAGGTGGTCTCTCGGTCTCCAGGGCTATTTTTCTGGTGGTCTCCCCATCCTCCATGAACACAGATTCATACACAGGCATGGTTTCTTCTCCACAAAAGTAGCCCTTACTGTCAAAGCTTTGGCCCGGAAGTTCTTCTGGAATCGGGAAGCAGGTATCTCATTGTTCATAGTGTCTCACGCTCATCGAGAGTGGACAATCAGCGAGAACATTCTTACAGAGTTAGAAATTCCACCCCTATTCCTTTGGCTCAGTTTAAGCTGCGCTGTAACAGCCACCAAATCACAAAGGACCACATGACCTTTGATTTAAGTCTACACGAGGACAGAATCCATAGATGTGCAGAACACTGGCCCACAAACCAAACTGGATCCACCCACCACCACAGGAGAAGTAGACCTTCGTGAGGAGGAAGAACGCAGCCAGGTACAAATCTCTTAGGCATGTCAGGGTACATAGGATTTTCCATGCTGGGTCCGGATCATGGTCTGTTTAGCACAGTGTTACCAACCGAGACCCAGGGAATGGGCTGACAGAGGGTCTTGCTTAACTTCCCTGACATCACTTTGGTATACTTAGAAAACATTTTATGACCCTCATTTATGTGCATATAGTTGCCCAAAGGATCTATCCAAATTGGCTTGACATTTCTGAATGCTCTTTGATTTGTTTGTGAGGGGAACGATAATACCGGATCAGCACCCGTGCCAAAACCTAGATGTCAGATTAGTCATATGCATGCTATGCCAAATGAACGGCTGGGAAACACAAAAAATTGGTCAAATCCCTCAACTATGGATCATTTAAAGTATAAACTAAACTGCTGGATTTCAGCTTCCAGGCATAAAGATACCAGCCCCTTCAAACTTCCCATTCCGCTCCACCCTTCTCTTCCCTCGGCCCCCTACCAAAAGAAAAAAAAAAAAAAAGTTTTTCCAAGTTGATGACCTGTGAGTTAAGTTTCTTTGCTGGCTTCATGAGCAGCACCCTCTTCAACTATGGCTTTAAAGTGTACCCTCGCATGAGGAGGAACAAAGAGAAGCCACGGGCACCCTGAAAACTTTGAATATGTGCAGAAGTCATGTGTAAGACTATCTGATGAAACCACGGAGTGCTGGGTTCTTTGGATCTGTGACGCTAATTAGGGAGACTCATTGTTAGCCAATCAGATGCATCGGGACCAGAGGCTGTAGTCAAATTGCTATTGCCCATCTCGTGCTGACCTGATTCCCACCCTCCACCACCATCTCGGCAGTGTAAGGACAAAATCGAAGTCATCACTTGGTGATTCCAGGTGGAACTACTCAATTTGTAGATCATCCTAGGATCAAGCCTCCTTTCTCCTTTGGCCCTTTTTAGTTATTTAATTGCTTGGTGGGCCAGTCCTTTGTGGTAATATGTTAGGTAATTAGGGGACGTGTGCTAGCACTTTGCCAGTCAGAGAAGTGGGTCTCTGAGTTCGCAGGGACCTCTGTGTATTTATCACCTTGAGAATGACAGCTGAGTTCAGTTGTTAATTTTTTTTTTTTTTTTTGCACCAGCTTAATACTGGCTACAGCTGTTAACTGCCATGCGAAATCCATGATGGCTCTGTAAATACCTGTCATGTACTAAAAGTTCTCCTAGTGTCCTGAAGAGTTGTCTTGCACCCCCCACCACCCCCACCGAGAGCTTAATGGACTCAGCAGAAGGGCTCTATGAACAACAAAACCCATCAGTGACTCAACCCTGGCTGGCACTTGAAAATATTAAGAGTAAACAAAGCGTGTCTTTGAAGCTACCCAGTGGGCAACAACCTCCCCGTTCCACACCCTCCACATCAAGGTGCTTTCTGATCACTCCATGCTCACCTAGTTGCGTTTCCTTCCAAGGAAGCCTGCTATGCTCACAGTCATTTCTGGCCATACCCACCTCCCTTGAGAATGCTCATATCCCGAGCTCTCCACAACTAAGAAATTGACAAAGCATTTCCTTATGGAGGTGGTAATGACTGATGAGGATGTATTAGCCCAGATAAGTTTTAAGTCTTAACAGGGGTGTTTTACACTGTATGCTGAAAGGACTGTGTAATTATAGGAATTCCAGATACCGGGGTGGTGTGGTGGGGATGGGAGTGGAGTTGGAGAACCTTCAGGAAGTGAAAGTCCTACACAATCTTGTAGGTGGCCACTAATAAGCAAGGCCAGGCCAGCCTCTACCAGAGCAAAGGCAAGAGAGGGAAGTAAAACTCACATCCTTAATTTTGGCCCTAGTTTGTGACTGGAGGAGGCTGTGATCATGTGTTCTAAGGAAACTTTTGGCTAGATCATCAGTGAATTTGATTTATCTCTTTTCCCTTCTCAACACAAATAGCTGAATTTACTGTTCTTTTCTACATCGATCTTCTTCCCTCTCCACTCTTTGTCCCTTTTTCTCTGTCATGTGTTATCTTTTTTTTAAATTAATTTATTTTGAGAGACAGAGAGCACAAGTAAGGGAGGGGCAGAGAAAGGGGGGGAGAGAGACAGAGAGAGAGAGAGAGAGAGAGAGAGAGAGAGAGAGAATCCAAAGCAGGCTCCGCACTGTTGCACAAAGCCTGATGTGGGGCTTGAACTCATGCACCGTGAGATCACGACCTGAGCCGAAACCAAAGAGTCAGATGCTTAACTGACTGAGCCACCTGGGCGTATTCTTAATCTAAGTGTATTACAAGTGCTTTCTTTTTTTTAACAGTAAGTGGGACCACAATATAAATATTGTTTTGGAGCAAAGCTTTGTACTTAACAAATATGTCACAAACATCTTTCCATGCCATTAAGTCTTGGTCTACAATGTTGTTTTTTTTTTTAATTAGTTTTTTAGAGAGAGAGAGAGAATGTGAGAGTGGGGGAGAAGGGCAGAGGGATAGAGAATCTCAAGCAGGCTCCACACTCAGCATGGAGCGCAACGCAGGGCTTGGTCCCATGACCCTTGGATCATGACCTGAGCTGATGTCAAGAATCGGATGCTCAGGTGCCTGGGTGGCTCAGTTGGTTAAGCGTCTGACTTCGGCTCAGGTCATGATCTCACGGTTCATGGGTTTGAGCCCCACATCAGGCCCTCTGTTGTCAGTGCAGAGCCTGCTTCGGATCCTCTGTCCCCACTTCTGTCTCTGCACCTCCGCCATGCTTGCTCGTGCTCTCTCTCATTCTCTCAAAAATAAACATTAAAAAAAATTAAGAGTCAAATGCTCAACCAGCTGAGCCACCCAGGGACCTCAGTCTACAATGATTTTGAATGGCCATCTGATAAGCCATGGTACAGCTATACCATAACTTATTTAACCATTCCCATATTGGTAGATTTTCAAATTGTTTCCAATTTTTTACTGCTGTAAACAACATTGAAGAAAAAAATCCTTATTTGTGTATCTGTGTATCCCTCTTATTACTTTCTTAGGATTCCTAGGAGTGAATTACTTAGCCAAAGAGTAGGAACGTAAAGGTTTTAATAAATACTGCCAACATGAGAAGCCAACTATTTAAAAGCCAATGCCTGTTCTACATTCACTTATGTGAATCACCTATATCTCTAAACGACTAAGCATTACAATGAAATGAGATTTGGTCTGAAGATCTGAGATTGAAATTGGAATATTATATAGCAGGGAGGATTTACCTTCCCTGGGGTAGTTTAGATCATGATTAGTTTTGTCTGAAAATATCATGTTACATTACTTATATGACTGTAGGTGTTCCACCCTTGGCCAAAACCAAAGAACATAAAATAAAATTGTGTTGGTAGAATTACTCCAAAGTGACACTAAAAGGTTTGAGGATCCGGCAAGATCACAGACTTGGAAGTCACAACAGGTTATTGTGACTTGGGTGGCCCCCCTGTCCGGATCACGCTCAGAATGTGCTCTCTCCCTATCTCTAATGAGTGCATTTTCTCATCAATTTTATTATTTTTTTAAAGATTTTATTTTATTTATTTTACTATTTTTAAAACTATTTTTAGTTTTCTGTAAATCTTAGTTAATATATGGTGTAATAATGATTTCAGAAGTAGAATTTAGTGATTCATCACTTACATATAACACCCAGTGCTCATCCCAACAGGTGTCCTCCTCAATGCCCATCACCCATCTAGCCCACCCTCATCCACCTCCCCTCTAGCAACCCTCAGTTTGTTCTCTGTATTTCAGAGTCTCTTATGGTTTGCCTCCCTGTTTTTATCTTATTTTTTCCTTCCCTTCCCCTATATTCATCTCTTTTCTTTCTTAAATTCCACATGGGTGAAATCCTAGAATACTCATCTTTCTCTGACTTACTTCACTTAGCAGGATACTCTAGTTCCACCTGCGTTGTTGCAAAGGGCAAGATTTCATTCTTTTTGATCACCGAGTAGTATTCCATTGTATATACATATCACATCTTCTTTATCCATTCACCAGTCAGTGACATTTGTCTCACCAATTTTAATGCCCCAGTTCCCTACTCCAGATCAGATAGGTCCTGTCCTTCCTATCCAATCCTACCTGCTGTTTACTCTGGGAGGAAGATTTTGTTTGTGCCATAAAGAAATGCTTCTCATACTTTAACGTGCATGGGGATCAACTGGGGGGTCTTGTTAAAATACAGATTCTGATGCAGTAGGTCTGGGAGGGGACCTGAGAGTCTGCCCTTCTAACTAGCTTCTAGGTGCTTCTGGTCCACAAACCACACTTAGAGTAGGAAGGCTATAAACCACCCTGAGCCTATGGCAGGTGCTTCTCAAGCTTGTCTGCACATTAAAACCACCTGGGGATCTTTTAAAAATTCTGGCGCCCAGGCGACACCTGAAATCAATTAAATCCTAATCTCTGGGGATGGGACACAGGTATTTTTAGAAGCTTTCCCGGGGGTTCCAATGTGCAGACAAGTTTGGGAACCACTGGCTTACATGAAGATGGCTCAAAAAATATACGTGGGCTAAGTTCATGTTTGCCTGCAAATCATGACGAACTAACTGCCTAAGTTGAAGGAATAAATGTTTGAGCTCTCTGCCTACTTCTAAAGTTTTTTGGGTTTTCCTCTGTGTTTACAAAAATGCTTTGCAGGTAGGCATATGAATCGATGAATTCATGTGCATGGGAGTGACTCATTCACTCCTAGAATGCTGGAGCAGGAAAGGCCCTAAGAAATACTCTACCCTAACCCTCATTTTGCAGAGAAGGAACCTGAAGCTCAGAGAGGTGAAGTGACTTTTTCTAGGTCACACAGGAAACCAGCGGAAGAGCCAGGATTAGAATGCTTGATCACCGATCCCCTATGCTGTCAGTCCCCACACTACAGACTACATTTTAATCTAGTTCATATGTGTTAGAACCACTGTGGATTCCCTTTTTAGGATATCAGTTAATATTATCTCCTGGCCTGGAAAAGGTAATGAGCTACACGTGACCTGAATTCCAAGCCTCGGTTTTGTTATCTATTTGTGGGATTCAGAGCAAATCACTCTATGCACTTCGGTAACGATATCATTATACAATTGTAGTGTTGGATGGGAGCTTGGAGATGAATTCTTCCAAACTTCTCCTTGTGCAGATGAGGCTGATGAAGGCCAGAACAGGTCTGTCACCTTTCCCACACAGCAACTTAGGTCAGGACCAGAACCCACTTTCTTTCCACTCTACCTCACGTGCCTCCCATCCTATCTCGAAAGGGTAATGGATGTGATTGTGCTTTGACGAGTGAAATAGTGACATCAATGAAAGGTGCTACTGTTCTTCTGTATAATCCTCATACTCCAATTTCTCTATAATTTAGAAAGGCCAGGCTGAAGTCTGGCACTTGAGGCTATGTGGGGCCAAAGGTGTAGTAGATACGAGAAAAAAAAAAAACAAAAAAACCCAGTCTATTTCCGAGTTACAAATTTCTTCCAAACAACCATGTTATCAGCCCTTCAAGGGAGGAGAGAATGAAGTTCATTGTTACAACTAGTATCATTACAAGGATATGGCAGGTTGATTAGGTTTCTGACACTCAAAGAACACTGAGAAGGACTACGTGGGGAGCTCATTCAACGAAAGGCAGGGCTTCCAACCAACGCACCTTTTGCCTTTTTACCTGGACACACCTTGCAGCACTTTCCATCTATTTTTTGAGGATACTTGCAGGGGTACCGGTTGGGGCAGTGGATTTTCTTACACTCTTGCTTGGTGACATTGCAAGTGCACAGCACACACTCCACAATGCCAAATGCCCGGAGATTGGGGTGCCAGGACTCGCCATGGGAGTAAGTCTTTCCATTGGAAACACACACTGGAAGAGAACACAGGGCTGGAAATTAAAGGCTAGGGTGCTGAAACGGGTCCCTGTGCTCAGAACCCAAGCCCTGAACCCCTTCAGACATCAAGCATCCTTTGTCCTTTCCATGGCCGTGGACGTATACAGAGCAGTCTCTGTCACCACAAAAATCCCCATCCTGGTTCCTATTCTACCATTAGCAACCATTCAGATGCTTCAGCAGCGACTTCTGGATGCTCACAAGTGCCTGGCACCTTGTGAGCAGTTGATAAATATTTCTTAAAAATGGAGGAATGTACTAGTGCATGAGAGCAGGGTTCCATCTGTCCTGGGTATCTCTGCGATAAGGAACCTCTAAGAGATTGTAGTGTTAATCCCTGCAGTTTCATAAAAGATGTACGCGGCTCGAGTGGATATGCTTCTTGGCATGAAAATCCCCCAGAGAGCTTGGCTGCCCAGGGAAGCTCGATGAAGAAACTACCGCTCTTCCCAAAGGGCCAATTTCTTCCAGATCCTGAAGCAAATCAAATGCTATGGAGAGTCTGATCCACCAACACAGATGGGTATGGAGGTAATGGCACCTGCCTACTCTTTGGCGTGGGGAGGAAGGCACTAAAATGAGATGAAGAGGGAAAGGATTGTGAAAGGTAGCCTTTCGTGCCTCTACACTTTGGGCAGTGTCCTCTGGCCCCTGTCTCACAGTGGCTACAGGGGTCCAGCAACAGTGGTCTCCCGTTTCCTGAGCCGGAAGTGAAGTCACTGGCTCCGCGTTTTGTGAGGGGCCTTGCAGGAGCAAGCATCTGAAGAGCTGCAGGCTCGGGGAGGGGGGAGTTGTGGGGAAGGCTATGAAGGGAAGGGGCGACGGGAACATCCTCCAATGCAGACCAACCAAAACATGCCCAGCTCCTCCCGTAAGGCATAGAGCCGAACTCCAGGATTAAGAACTATACAGGGCTGGGAGCGGGGAGGGCGGAGAATAAGCTCTCTCCCTTTCTGAAAGTGCCGAGACATTCTGGAGATTTTAAAGCCATGACTGGGACTGGGTGTGTTTCTCATTATTCCCATCACCTCATCATACCCAGGGAGACCTGTCGGCATCCCAATCAACAACATCTCCAGGGTGGGTTGTATCACTTAAGGCGGGGCTAGGGTGGGAGAAGTAGCCCCACTTGGGGCGTTTCTAGGAATTGGCTGATTTGGCCGCAAGACCATGGCCTCAGAAGGATGAATCATTGGGCTATTTCTTTCTCCTCAAATCCACTGGGTCACATTAGGAAATATGGATGATGTTGGCTGCCTTTTCCTGTCCTTTGCAAAAACTGCTAGAGTACTGGGCACTCTAGCAGGGTCCATCCGTGCAAAGATTTCCAAGAACACAGGCACCCAAACCAGAGAAGTTCCCCACCTTCCGGAGAGATGGAACAAGAACTTGACATGTGGACTCTGAGGCTCAGGACTGTGGACGGAATCCCAGGACAAGGTATGCCGGATGTGTCATTCTGTCTCCTGCCCTCATCTCTCCTGTCATCTCCAGAGACCGTGACACTGCCTTCTAGACAATGTGGTCAAGTGGGTACATTGTCTGCTTCATGCCAACGGATGCTGGACTCAAGTTCAAAATGGTGGAGTCCTATTGCTTCTCTTCTTTGACTCAAGCAGAGGACCAAGGACATGTGTCTCAGAGGAGCATGCTGTTAGTGGGAACACTAAGGAGAAGGGCGGGCAGGACCCCTGTGCTATATAGCTAGGTTCACTTTCCCCTAAGTATTGGGACTAAGGGGACAATCTAGACAGGATGAGAGTCTACATTCTGAGATGTAGTAACAGGAGATCAACCCTCTAGAGGGAAACACAGCCTTCTCCCCACTCACAAACTCTCAAGATGATTTTGAATCATCCAGCTGGGCGTTGTGGGTTGGGGGTGGGGGCAAGTGATTCTCCAGTGAACTATAATAGAAAGGTCAGGAAAGAACTGCTACATCCAAATCAATGGGAGCAATGAAAAAATGTAAACCAGCTGAGCCTTTTGTAGGACGCAGAGAAAATCAAGGGATGAGCCTCTGCCCTGAAATGAAGAGGCCTGTGGAAATTATGGGATTTAAGATTTTCAAAGTCCATTTCCCCACAGGATTTTTTTTAGGCTTTGAAATACTCCTCCTCATTTCATAAATTCATATGAGGATGCCTTGGACTTCAAAAATAATACGCTTCAAATCAAACCCAGATCGATAGTAAATATTTCCAATTCTTCTGATATATCGCCATTTTTTTATCAAGACTTTTATTTTGCATGTTCCTCTTTTAAGCCTGTTAGTTTCAAAAGCGATTCAATGTTTTTTATCTGTAATCTGAAATTTACATCTAACTAGTAACAGCTGTGATCAACTCGCTTTGGTTTGACCAGCTTTGTTGAGATTTATAGTAGGAGTTCTTTGTAACGGATTGTTTTTCACCCGTGTTATTCAATCATTTGGTTTAATAATTTATTACTTTTAACCCATTCAGAGAACTGGCTTTGATTTGTTTTTCCTTTAAAGGAAACAAAACATGTTTGTGGTTTCGTAAAAAGGAACCAGCTGAGCTCTTGCTCTGAAGAGCTGGTTGACACGATGCCTAAAAAAAGTAAGAAGCAGTCAATTGTTTGATTGAATTTCTCCCCCCCCCCCCACCCCCACTACTGGGGTGGGGGTGGAGGCCAGGGAACTCTGAGCAGGAAGGACCTGGCCACGGACGTGTGTGGGTGCCTGCTGTAGCCAGCTGGTCGGCTGAGTGAGTGGGCTGCATATCTGTGTTAACCTGATCAGTCCTCCTGGTGCTCAGCCAGGAGGTTTCTGGATTTCTTACTGGATTACTCATTTCCAATGACAATCTCCTCATATGAATTAGAATCTCCGAGTGTGGGGCCCAGAATATGTACCTTTAGCAAGAGGCCCGGGGAGAGAGCCTTGGGTGCACTGCAGTGTAAGAACTGCTACTTCGAAGGTATGGGGCTAAGAGCTTCATTCGGCACTGAGTCCCTGTGAATATTGGGTGCCCAAGTGACAACACACAAGTTCTCTTCTGTTAAGGATCCAAGGAACTTTCCCAAATGACCTGCAACCCCCCGGGGCAACAGAGAAAATGCCGGAGGCTGCATTAAGCTCACGGCTTTCTTTTGTCCTAAGTAAGGGCAGGTATACCTGAAATCTAAACTAAGCTCTCTGGGCTGCCTTTAGGGAAGTCCTAACAGTCGGCTGGAGTCGCTTGTCCACACACACGCTTTGAGGCCTGATGGGAAGTCATCCTCATGTGAATGTGTGATATGCATGGGAGACAGGGCCCTTCCCAGGCCCAGCCATTAAGAGAAGGGGACTGTGGACGTGGCCCAAAACGAGAGTGTCCCTTACCTTGTCCGTGCTTGTGTTTGTTGTTGATGACAATTTGCACAATGGTGCCCGATGCTTGCTGGGAATCCATGAGAGCTCCTCGGTGGCTTCTGGCCCCGGGAAAGCGGGGCAGACCTCCAGCCTGTCGGCTTGGTGGGGGGTCGTAGTGAGATCGGTGGTAAGAATGTCTCTGTAAAATGACAAGGACAAACTCAGTCCCCTAGATCCACCAGTGAGAAGGCCCAAGTGGACTTAAACACACTTAGAAGCCATGTGATGACCTCAAGTGATGAGCTCGGATCTTAAATTAACCACATGTCCGCCTACACCGGTGGAGACATACGGTTGCTCCTGAAGCAAGAGTAGCCTTGACAACATGCCGAGATTTTTCTCTCTGCTTGCAGAAGACTGGACTAGTTTCACCTGAGGGAGCAAACAGCCCAAAAGGGTAAACAAAACGTCCTTAGCTGCTCCCAAGGAGCCATTTGCAACTCTTCAGGAGCCTTAACCTTACGAGTTAAGGGAGTGGCCTGCAGCCTGAGGCTGAAGGGGACAAAGTGGGAAATGGTGTACAAATTAGGAAGACAAAGAGAACTTTCCAGTCATGGGGAATGTGTGACCTGGGTGGGCCATGAAGGGTGGAGAGGCTTTTCACAGGCAGAGTTGGTGAGGAATATTCCAGGTAGCGATTTCCAAGTTGAGAACGTGTAGCAGAGAACATAGAGTCCAAAAACGGGAACCGCTAAAGGATTACATTCCAAATTTGGGTTGCAGCCCGATCATGGAGGACTTTAAATGACAGGCTGAGGGGTGAGGACTTTATTTGGTAGGCAACAGAGGTGAGGGTGTGGAAGCCTTCGATGGATTTTTTTTTTTTTTTGAAGCAGGGAAATAATCAGAATCAGAACTGTGTCTCCAAGCACTGATACCTGATTATATATACGGTGCGCTGGATGGAATGAAGAGACAGGATAGGCCAGATGAGAGGCACGGAGACTCAAAATGCAGCCAATGGCATGAGGTCACAGAGCAGGGTACAGACACCCTAGACATTGCATAAAAGAACCGACCGTGTAGGACAGTACCAGAATGTCACCCAGAGGGGAGGACTTTGTTTTGCTCACTGCTATGCCTCCAGTGCCCCAAACAGCATCCAGTGTCTAGAAGGTGCTCATTAGACACTTGAAGGAACAAATGAATGAATGAATGAATGAAAGCTGTTGTCCCCAATGAAAGCTTAGAGTCTTGTACTACAAATAATGCAATCATTCCTCTGTCAGCAAGGCTTTGACACGTGATGTGCCCACTATTCTCCCAGGAGCTGAGGGAGAGTGAAGGCAGAGGAGGATGGAATGAATGAAGGCTAGAACCTAAGGCAAAAAGCCAAATAACATTGTGTTTTAGGGGCAACTGTTTGGGGTAAAGGAGGGGAGACCCGTGAGTAATTTCACAGGCAATTAAAAAGGAAGATCCTTATGTTCAGTGTTAGATATAGCAGGGGATCTTGGGAAGGTAGCTTTGGGATCCCCTAACCCCAGCATCCCATAAAACATTTATTACAGTTATGGTCCATAGATACACATGTTGCAAATTTAGCTTTGAGAATTAGTATTAACTCTCTTGAGGGGGAAGGCACCGGTGGGAGAAGGGGAGAGAGAATAGGAGTCAGAGTAAGAGAAAGAGAACATGATTCCCTAAATCTAAGAAGCGTCCACGCTGGTACATTGCTATGAAAACTCACGCAAGTAAGAATTTGCATCAACTTATTATCATGTACACAGATGGAATTTTCAGCGCAAATATTTTTCGTTCCCACAATGGCTCAGATGTCTTTTTCACTTACATTCCACAAAGACCATTACAGAGCATTCTGTCCTTTCTGGAGTTTGGCAAAGTTTTGCCAAAGGAACACAGAGAGGACAGTCTGGCTGGTGGGTACCCTGATGCTAAAAGGAGGGAGTCCCACAGAGCTAGAATTGGAGAGAGAAGGTCGCTAACCCAGGATGAGTTGCAAGTACAAGAATTTCTGTGATTCATGAGGGTGAGAACAAAATGAAATGCTGGCCTTGGGTGCCAGGGACTCAGACCCTGGACATACAGTAAGAGACAAAAACATTCTACACCAACCAAACAAACAGACTCAAGGATTTTGATCAGCCCCCCAGAACCTTGCCTTGTTAAAGTCTTGCGTTTTTCAGAGAAACAGGCTAGACAGGAGAGGGGTTTTATTTAGGGTGACCATGAAGTTGCAGTTTTTGGAGATGGCAGGAGAGGAGGAGAGAGAAGGATGAACAGGAGGAGGAAGAAAGGAAGGAGAAAGTGGGAGAAGGAACGTGTGGTCAAGCCCAGTGGTCTGCAAACATTTGGCTGAAAGCTGCTCTGAAGAAAATATCCAAGTCTGCTCAGATAGCAAAGTCGACGACAGTGGTCACAACCTGGGGGTGGAGGGTGGTGAAGTGTGATTTTGATTTGAGGGTCATGGCTCTTTTATAGAGGTTGTTCCCCTAAACAGGCAAACGAGGGGCGCCTGGGTGGCTCAGTCAGTTGAGAGACTTTGGCGCAGGTCATGATCTCAGGGTTCGTGAGTTCGAACCCCGTGTCAGGCTCTGTGCTGACAGCTCAGAGCCTGGAACCTGCTCCCGATTCCCTGTCTCCCTCTCTCTCTCTCTCAAAAATAAATAAACACTAAAAAAAAAAAAAAAATAAACAAGCGAATGAAAGAGGCTTACCAGGGACCATTCTGACCTTGTAACTTATAGCAAGACAGGAAAAGGCATTAACACCTTGGAGTCGTAAATGAAATTGGAGTTTATCTTAAAAACAAGCTGTGAATAGCCTGCTCAAGAGAAGAGGTCAAGACTTGTTAGGCAGAAATGGCCATATAGCTATACTTTGTTTTATTCTGCTCAATATTTTGGTATTATTTTATTTCCTGACTCAAAGTGTCGATAACTAAGGCTTTTGAAGTGGTTCCCACACAGTTCTTTTCTGATGGTGGAAAATCTCCATTATTGTCGAAAGTTCCCCAGGAATCTCTTCTTTACTTGTTCTAAGGTCTAATATGGGTTTTACTGGCAGAGACGGGGAAACAGGACAGTTCCGGGAGAGCCCTCCAAGCGCCTTCATGGCTGTGAGTCTAAAGTTATCATGAAATATAGTTTAACTTAAAGACTGTCTTCAGAATGTGTCATAATCCACACAACCTTGAGTGCCTGTATCTTCATCACTGGAACCCTGGGACCATCCCTGTCTGGGAGACACTTGGGCCAGTTTCCTTCCCCACCCACCATTCTGACAGTAGGAATGAGACGTGGATTTTTATCTGTTGCCTATTGTTTCTATCTCTAAATCTTTCACTTTTCGAGTGGTAAGTCTCTGAGTAATCTATCAGGGGCAAAATCAAGACGTTGGCTGTTGTCCAAAACAAAATTGTGCTTGCTTTCATGTTTTGGCTTTCCACCCTATGTCTACTTCTCCCTCCCTATAACACACACACACACACACACACACACACACACACACACACACGCTACGGTACTAGGACCAGTGTATGTGAAATTATGATCTGGAAACCGAACCAAAACCATTTCAGATTTTGACAAAGGAGCTGCAATTGAGGCACTGGTTCCTCCTGTGCACTTCGTAAAACTTGGGAAACTGATGGATTGCAACCCATGTGGCAAAATGAAGCAAACCTCTGTGTTTCTATCGAACTGACGTTTGGATGGTTCCCTGTGAATAGGGACGGTCCATTAAAGTGACAGTCTGCCGAACGGGCAACGTCCTGTGAGGCCTGCCTTTTGTGATCCCATAGAGAAAGCTGAGCCTGCACAGGATATTCAGAAGGCGTTCTCCTACCTTCTGATTTTTGGCTGCTCGAGGGCCAGCAACAAGTGTGAAGCATCTTTGACGTGGGACAAATGCCTGTGCGTTCACGTTCATGAAAAGCCCCTCCCACACATTTCACCCCACCTTCTATACCCATTCACTCAACACGGATTTATTGGGTGCCTACTATGTGCCAGGTACATATTCTTCTATTACTACAGATGCTATTTATTATTGCAAATCCTATCCCACAATATCTACCCCTTTTAGAACAAAGGAAAATATTTATTTATAATAAAGTGGAACCATCTGGACATTTTGGTCTACTAGGCCCAAATGTTTATTTCTAAAGATAGGTCTTGAACTCCTTTGAAAATCAATAACAATTTCAAGGCCCTGCATTCTGTACCTGACCTCTTTTGGTACAGGAAGTACGGGATCAAGTTCAGCCCTATCACCAGCAGTTTAGGAAAAAGGACAAGAGGGAAAGGCCAGGGTAGAGTTGGAGGCAGCATAAAATATGAGGGCGAGAAGAAGGGCTAATTAATGGCATTCCCAGCAGGATCACCGAGCTGGCCACAGACGCTTAGCTTTGCGGACCAAGGCACCCAGTTTAAGGTATCTCAGGGCCAAATTTGGTTAGAATACCATCTGGTTGACAGCCACAGATTTAGTCATTCTCAACTTTCTACCACAATAAAAAAAAAATGAGCCCTGAGAAAAAGAGGAAATTCACAACACAAAAAATGGAGACTGGTATCATCTCCTGTCCAGATCTGGGAGGAATCTGATTTACTATAAAGCAGATAGAGCTAGATGGAGAAAATCTTGTTTTTCTTTCTTTCTTTTTTTTAAAGTTGGTATTTAAACTCTAGTCAGTGAGCATACAGTGTAAGATTAGTTTCAGGTGCACAATCTAGTGATCGAACACTTCCATACACCATTCTGTGCTCATCCCAAGTGCCCTCCTTAATCCCCATCCATCTATTTCACTTACCTTCGGGCTCCATATTAACCCGGGAACTGGGAGGCCCATCCTCTCTCACAGGAGTGTCGCTTTCTTTGAGACACCCGGTATTCTCTGCCCCACCCACAATCCTTCTACACTCATTCAGAAACAGCAACGTCTAGAAAATAATACGACTACAGAATAAAGCCAACGGCCATCACTTCAACTCATTGCTGAGGGTGTTGGCCAGCTGGATGTAGGCAAGTCGAGAGTGGCGCGTGTGATGACCAGGAAACATGGCCTAAGCAACACTGAGATGTTTATAGTGGCCATTTTATTATGTCCCCACCAACACCTTCCTTACACCCTCCGTATCCTAGGGCTTGCCCTGTAATTCCCTAGACTCTTGTCTTCTATAAAACGCTGGTTGAGAAATAATACCACGGGTTTAAAAAAATCATTTAAATGTTTTATCCTGCAGGGGCGCCTGGGTGGCTCAGTCGGTTAGGCGTCCGACTCTTGATTTTGGCTCAGGTCATGATCTCACGGTTCATGAGTTCGAGTCCTGCGTTGGGCTCTGAGCTGGTGGTGCAGGGCCTGCCTGGGATTCTCTCTCTCCCTCTCTCTCTGCCCTTCCCCTACTTGCTCTCTCTCTCTCTCTCTCTCTCTCTCTCTCTCTCTCTCTCTCAAAAAACAAATAAGTACATTAACATTCAAAAAAATAAATGTTATATATTGCAAAGCAAATCGATGCTCATTGAAAAACATCCAGTAATACAGAAAAGATAAAGTGAATAATCCAACGCTCCCTGTCCTCCTGCCAACTTCCACCCCTCTGGGATTCCCACTCTTGACGTTTTGGTTTAGGACCTCCCAGACCTTTTCATGTGTATGTACACATGCACACACACAATGTTTACATAAGGAGATGCTAGTGTAAGTTGTGTCCTGTACCTTGCTTTGTTTACATAATATATGTTGGGGATCTCTCCACCTTGGTCCATTTCGATGCCTTGCACTCTTTAACAACAGCACCATGTGCCATAGATGGGGTGTGTTTAACCACGCCCTTATTGCTCTTGGTTAGGTTGCTGCCCCGTTTATTTTGCTCTTATGAAAATAATACTGCACTGAATGCCCCATGCACTTTTTCTGTACGGGGATTCGATGAATGCCCATTTATGTGCCATGAATGCCTTTGTACATTTTGCGTGCTTTTATAAGCCCTTCAATAGGATAGATTCCTTGAACTGGAACATCTTTCCAGATTTTAAGAATTCTGAGGTATTTACGCTGTACTTGACCATATATATTTTTTTTAATTTGATGTTTTACTTATTTTTGAGAGAGAGAGAGAGAGACAGAGAGAGACAGAATACGAGTAGGGGAGGGGCGGAGAGAAAGGGAAACACATAATCCAAAGCAGGCTCCAGGCTCTGAGCTGTCAGCACAGAGCCCGACACGGGGCTTTAACTCAAGAGTTAAGAGATCATAACTTGAGCTGAAGCTGGATGCTCAGCTGAGGGAGCCACCCAGGAACCCTGGCCCCCCTGGCCATATGTTTTTTAGAGAGGGATTGCATTTTGTTAATTACTTCAAAATACAAAGGGAGAAGAGATACTGTTGCTATACATAAAGAGGCTTTTTATGAGGTTAGCACTGAGCATGGGAATGAGATATTGTAGGGTGGGGAAGGAATATCCAGCCTGCTACCTTTGCTCTCCTTCAGCTGTAAACCTAAGGCTTCAGAGAGGGTTTGTGGAGACGCGTCCACAGTACCCCTGTCAAAAGGATGGGAGGACCTACCTTACAATTCCACAGAAGGTTCTCACTATTGAGGACAGACGTAGTGACCTGCCTTCTTTCCAGAAGGCAGAGATTTGCCAAGCCATCCTGAAAGTCTACCAGCTTCTGATCTAGGCAAGGGGTACCTACGGGCGGGGGCTATGATTTCTTTATGCACATGTCCTGGCCCCGGTTACCAATTGTGCAGTGTACTTAAATGGTAACAGGTTGGTGATAATGCCATTTAATTTTCTGAGGAAAGGAAAGAGAAATGGTGTTAGAAATGGGCCCTTTTATGGAGTTGCTGGGATAACAGCCATGGAGAGAGGAAAGTTTGGCTTGGTGCTGTGGAGTGTTGAATTATTTGAGCTATTCACACTTACTGCTTCTCTGTTGGCAGGTTGCCGGAAGATATCACCATCAGAATGTTCCCACGACAATTCTCCATCCCCTGTTTATTACAAAATAAGAAAAGAGTCATACATACATAGAAGGGAAAACCATCACCCTTGTGACCTAGCAACATTTTTGGTTCTATGATCCCAAATTTCTCCAGACAGCTTGACCGTTGTTAAGATGGCTGTCCTTCAAAAAGTGAGCCCGGAAGATTTCTCTCTGGGTGTGCCTCAGTTTTCAAAGCAGCTCTGAAGAAAACTACCACCTTCTAAAAGATTCTGCCCATCACCATTGTGTAAGATTTGGGAAACAAAAGGGAAAAAATCACTTTCCGCTGTGATACAGCCATCAGCTTCCCTTTTGATTATTTTATTTCCGTGGCAGTTAACTTTTTTGCAGGTCATGTGTAATCTGTGTTTAAACTACCCTTAAAAATGAGAGTTTTGAGGATGTGGTCTGTCATAATTGGTTAAATTTTCCATTGTGTCTCTGAGTAGGATGACCTGGTCTGAAAGTTAAGGTAAAGCTTGCGGTGGTTGGAGGGTTTACATAACCAGTATCCAAGATGTACTCCTCTACCGTTGCCTAAGATACCTTCCTCTTGGTCTCTGTGTCCACCCTTTGAATAGTGAACCCTTATCACTGCCGTCTTCCACAGTAACTGCTTTTGGGAGGAAGATCTTACTTTTAGCCTTGAGAACAACAAACACAGAACAAGATGGTGATATTCCTCAGCCAAAGAAAGATCACGAACAACAGGACAATTTCCAAGGATATTCCCTTGTGTTATCTATGACCAAACAAGCCAATGGGAAGAACTTGGTCTGACTATTAGCATCAGATCAACCATATATTTCATGGGATAATAAGAAATACCCAAAAGTATCAGCATGAAGAACTTTCTATTTTAATTTATCCCCCAAGCTTTCAAAACCCATGGCTACATAGTAACATGTTACTAGTTCAAGGATGTGATAGTACTATGAGGGAAAATTGGCTGTTAGGACTTGAAAAAGACTTCGAAATTCCTTTGATAGTAATATTATCATCAGGTAGTGACATATAACAAAATTATGGCTTTAGTCCCTTCATGATTTAAAGATCATCTTATGGGGGGAGCCTGGGTGGCGCAGTCGGTTAAGCGTCCGACTTCAGCCAGGTCACGATCTCGCGGTCCGTGAGTTCGAGCCTCGCGTCGGGCTCTGGGCTGATGGCTCGGAGCCTGGAGCCTGTTTCCGATTCTGTGTCTCCCTCTCTCTCTGCCCCTCCCCCGTTCATGCTCTGTCTCTCTCTGTCCCAAAAATAAATAAATGTTGAAAAAAAAATTAAAAAAAAAAATAAAGATCATCTTATGGAAAAAAATTATGAATTGTCAAGATTTAACTCTGGTTACTAGATTAATCATAGTGTAACTTCATCATTCTGTGATCAAAACTTTCAATGTGTTCCCATCCGAGACTGGATATAATTAGCTCCCCCCCCCTCATCTTTATGAGTACCTGCCTCTTCCTGAACTGTCTCAGCTACTCTACTATGAGAACCCTTTGACCCCTTTGCTCTTTATGGAAAATGTGGCTCCTATTCTTGCTTCCATGCATTCGCTCATGTTATTCTTCTGAAATTATCTTCCCATCTCCCACACCCATACCTCCCGTACAGCTATGCAAACAATTTAAGTTCTGCCTCCTGTACAACATCTTCCTCAAGCGCTCTTACATATTTCTGGTTGCCTAAAGGACTTAGCATCCCGTAGTCTTAGTTTTTGTCCAACTGCTCCATTTCACAGATGGAGAAAGGCTCAGAGAGGGCAAGCAGCCATTCACAGTCACATAATGAGTTGATGAGCATTAACACCCCAAACCCCAGATTTCCTGGCTTCCAAATAAGCACATCCATTCTGTAAGGGCAGGATTTTTTATTCGTGTTATCCATGGCTGTATCACCATCATCTATAACAGTGCCTGACACATAGTAGTCACTCAATAAAATACTTGCCAAATGATGGAATTGAGAGGCCTTCTCTAACGAACGACATATTGAAAATTTCAACGCTCCTCTGATAGTTCTTATCTGCCATCTTGGCCTTTTCTTTTTAGCACTTAACACTATCTTACGGTTTATACAGTTTGTTTGTTTAATTTTCTGCTCTCTCCACTAGAATTCTCCTATGAGAACAAGGATTTTTGTCTATCGTGTTCACTGATATAACCCCAGCACCTTGAACAGCACTGAGCACATGGTACTCATTCAATATTTCTTGAATGAATGAACAACAGTATCCTCTGTTGTAAAATATTTTCTGAGTCTTCCTTGTCCCCCTGAAGAGACCATAAATCCCTTGAAACTAGGGACCATGTCTTAGACATTCCCCTGTGTTGCCTAGATCACTGGTTTTCAAAGTGTGGTCTCTGGAGCAGCAGCAGCATCATTACCTGGGAACTTGTCAGAAATGCAGAATGTGGGACCCCATCCCAGACCTACTAAGCCACTTCTTCCTGGTTATTCCAAGTCTGAGTAAAGATGGCAGGCAAAGACTGCATCCAGACTATGTGGAAACCCTGAGTGACCCTGAAAGAGTGAAGATGATTTCACCTTTGTTTACATCTAGAAAATAATGCCCCAAAGTCAGTTATTATGTATTGGATGCTTCTTGGGTGGAAAGCCTGATACTGAGGCAGAAGGTGGAGAGAAATCAGGCTGGGCCCTTGCCCTCAAGATCTTTACAACATGTTTGGAGGTGACAGGAAGTCAGCACAGGAAACAGCCTAACACACACACACACACACACACACACACACACACACACACACAGAGTAACAACTGGAAATACAAATGAACCTATGTGCTTGGGAGATACTGAATAGGTGAGTGATCGGTAAGATAGAATTGTGTAAAACTTCCCAAAAGGATTAGTCATGTTTTTAGAAGTAGATGCTACAGGGCACGAACACATGGTGACGTGGACAGCGGGTGGCTCAACTGAAAGGAACGGCATTTGCAAAGGGGCAGAGCTTTGGAAACAGTAAGTAACATACTGGAGACAGCCAGCAAAGTGTGGCTTGAGTAAAAAGTTCCGATGTGAAACAAGAGAAATGAGGATGGTAGAGAGAAAGAAAGGAAGAAGGAAATGGAGGGGGGTAGTGGGTGAAGAGGAGAGGGCAGGAAAGAAACAGGAGGGGAGGGAGACTGGTTGTTGAGGTATATAAGGCTGGTAAATAATTGCTTTGTAGATTTCAGAAAGAGGTCGAAGAATTCACATTTTAGCCTGTTACCAATTTTTACGTAGAGGTTCCTACAGTAAAAATGGTATTTGTGGAAGCTTCTCCTGACAATCGAGTGTCACCTAGTTGGGGAGCAACTGGAATCTGAGAAACCAACCAAGAGGCTGTTCTACTAATATGTGACAGGCCCTGAGAATCTATAAAATAATGGAGAAGGGGCAAATAAGACTACTTCAGATAAAAAGGAAATGTTAAGATCCCAATGGGAGATTTGGTAATGGAAGAGGTTGGCAAAAGAGAAAACAACATAAAATGACGCTAGGGTTGCAAATCTGGACAGCTGGGAAATGACACTGCCTTTGACAGAGTCTGAGTGAGGATGAACTTCAATTTACTTGTTCCGCTTCTGCTGGCAGTGGTGGGTCCAAGCAACGTCCTTGATGAAGCCAGATGAAAATATGGGACCAGAGAGAAGACTGGAAACCAGAAGAGATTCACCAGCAAACAGCTGAACAAAATGTAAAAGTTATAGGATGTATTTTCAAGCCTAATCTAAGGACCCCAAAGAGAATAAATGAGAAAAGAAAAAAGGATAGATTTGCTCTCTGCATCAAATGGCGTTTGTAAACGTAGATTTAATGATTGGTATTGACACGGAACATATACTTAGCATGACCTTCTGAGAAGTTCAATTTATTGCATTTATACCCTAGAGTGTTCAAAGGGTTTTTAGGTAGTGTCTTGAAATACTTATAGTCCAGTCAGAATCTTTTTTTTTTTTTTTAATTTTTTTTTTCAATGTTTATTTATTTTTGGGACAGAGAGAGACAGAGCATGAACGGGGGAGGGGCAGAGAGAGAGGGAGACACAGAATCGGAAACAGGCTCCAGGCTCTGAGCCATCAGCCCAGAGCCCGACGCGGGGCTCGAACTCACGGACCGCGAGATCGTGACCTGGCTGAAGTCGGACGCTTAACCGACTGCGCCACCCAGGCGCCCCTATAGTCCAGTCAGAATCTTGAAGCATATAGTCCCTGCTAAGTGAGCAGAGAAACAAGCCAGGATCAAGCATGAAGGCTTGATGTAGAGGTTCCTACAAGCACGGGGCTTTAGCATGAACTTGTGTAACACCCTGTAACACAAGTTCAAGAAGAAAGTATCGCAACACCTAAGCATTTAATGGCAAACAGGCATGTGCGCCTAAATCTCAATTATTTCACTTCACAAAAAAACTACTGGAGCCATTACTTCTGTACACACACACACACACACATATATTCTCAAGTATGAATGACTACTAGTTTTATGGCTTTGAGCTTTCAAAGTCATCCAAATGGTATTCTCTAAGCTGGAGTGTTCTGTAAGTAAGAAGTTATTCCATATAATTTGGACCATAGCTAAATTGGAAGAATCTTCTTAGATGTTCCATTTAGTACACGTTTAAGTGATTCTCTAGACCTGGGCAAAGTCTGTCCAGATAGCTGATAACAGGCATGTTCATTTACCATCTCAGATATACCTAAGAGACAAAATACATACAAGAAAAAAGGAAGCTGCACTACCCTAAAACCTGTTCCTTTGCTTTTTTTTTTTTTTCCTGATTCACCGGGCAAATTATCTTCCCCAAGAGGGAGATGCTTTTTTCCATCAAGGATTAAAAAAAAACACCAAAAAACCCCCCAAAACAGTGATTCTAATGGAGACAGATGGATTCTAGTTAATTCCGAGAAGCAACAAGATGTAATTTTAACCAATTTTTAAAACCAAAATGAAAAACAACTCTAGTGTACCGTATGTCAAACAATATTCGTTTAACCTTAAAAGCCACATGTGTT